TTGAAAATGTTTTCTTCTGGTTTCCCTGCTGAATATTTCAGTAATAAAGCTTGCAGCATAATTGAATCCATTCCCGTGGCTGCAGTGCAGGCTTGGGCTCCAAGAACCAAGCAGAAAGTTACTTCCTGACTGCTTCTGCAGCTCGGTCCAAACCCAGCATTCTCTACCTCTTATCCTTGTGCTTCCTGACAGTGATCTGGCTGTGCAGCATTCCCAGTGTGTGTGAAAGACCGATGCCAAAGCATAAGCCTGTTTTCCACAGAGAGTATTTTCAGTAACGTTACTTAAACATAAAGGTTAGTCCCTGCTCTGGTGACAGTGCACAGGGTCCTTGTCAGAAGAGGAAGAGATGGAAATCATTTTCAAGCATTAAAGAGCCGTTCATGAGGGTTTAGTCAGTGCAAACAGCAAATGCAGTTCAATGCTGAACTGATTTGTGTTTTTGTCTCAGATGTCAGCGCCTTTGCTACCCACTGATTGGGAGCCTTCCATACAGAGATGGGGAAGAAAAAGCTCAAGATCCCCATGGGCCTTCTGAAATGACACTGGGGTCCAAGCCATTAAAACAGTTAGATGTTTCGGTGCTAGGCCCTGTGGACTGGCACCATTTCCTTCCCTTCCAGCAGACAGGATTTGGCTGCTTTTGGTGTAGCCTTTCTAAGGCTTTACTGCCTGCTACGGTTTGTTGTTCCTCGAGTCACACGAACTATGCTAGTAATTTCAGAAGTGTCCTTTCCACAATGACCCTCAACCCTGAGCTGTTCTGAGCGCCTCAGCAATGCCGGTTATTTATGCTTTTATCCTTCTTCTGCCAGGTGAGGAACACACACAAGGGACTCGCCCAAGGCAAAGGAGAGAGTCAGAGCATCCTGCTCACAGCATGATGTTCCAGTCACCTGACCCTGCCTGGTATTGTACTCACAGGGACACTGTGGCTCCACTGAAGGTCTCCAACCGCACAAAACACAGACCAGTTTCAGACACCACACTCCAGTTTCAGGGGAAATCCTGAAACCCACAGACTCTACATAACAGGAAGCAGAATTATCTTCAACAAGTACTTCATACCCAGGGAACAAGCGTGTGTCTGAACTACGATCAGTGTGTTCTAGGTCAGGGAGTACCTGAACCAAGGAGACCCAATTCCCTAAACAAGTGAACTGCTGCTGTGCAGAGAGGGATGTATGAGGACTGTAGTTCTTATTACACTTGGCATACGATGGGATTTGCACCAAACTTTAAAATCCTTTCATTTCGTAAAATCATGGAATCCTGGAATGGTTTCTGTTGGAAGGGACCTTAAAGCTCATCCAGCTCCAACCCCTGCCACAGGCAGGGACACCATCCACTAGAGCAGCTTGCTCCAAGCCCCTGTGTCCAACCTGGCCTTGAGCACTGACAGGGATGGGGCAGCCACAGCTTCTCTGGGCACCCTGTGCCAGCGCCTCAGCACCCTCACAGGGAAGAGCTTCCGCCTAAGAGCTCATCTCAGGCTCCCCTCTGGCAGGTTCAAGCCATTCCCCTTGGCCTGTCCCTACAGGCCCTTGTCCTAAGCCCCTCTCCAGGTTTCCTGCAACCCCTTTAGGCACTGGAGCTGCTCTAAGGTCTCCCCTTAAGGAGCCTTCTCTTCTCCAGGCTGAACAAGGTTTTCACAGGTTATTTGCTGCACACATAACAGCTTTGTCTTTCATCTCTCCCCTTCACTTGCTGACTGCCTCCGCCTGTGCCTTGGCAGAGGGTACAACTGCTGAGCTACATCTGCCCTGGGAACAGCTGACGGATAAAACAACTAGACCTCTCACCTGAGTGAGCTCATCACTCTGTCAGCCATTAAGCAGCTTAAGAAAAGCCAAGAGTGAGTTGTCCATCATTCACAAAACCCAAGGCAGCTGTGGGCATCCCCAAAAGCAGCACACAATGCTTTTGGGCATGCAGCAGCCATGGAGTTGAGGTGCTCTAGGGTAGGGCAGCAGTCAGTGAGGGGAAGTACCACTGCAAACTGGAGCAAAAGAGCCTAGATTCTTCTTGACACTCCTTGTTTGGGGCTGGATGTGGGCTTATCACACCATGCCTTCACGTCTCTGTGCCACTAATAAGAGCTTTCAGTTCACAACCCTACTAACATTTCAAACTACTCAATAAATATACATTCTTCCCACTTCTGACGCGTGACACTGTCCATGAATACCTGGCTGCTGGAGTGACTGTGCTGAGGTTCATTTGTGCTCCCTCACTAGCATTTATTAGCTCTGGCTCTCCAGCACGGGTTTATGCACTTGAGATTATCCTGAATTTATATGCTGCCTTGTGGCTACATCATTTGTTTGCCTGACAGCACTCACTTTAATTTCCAGTAACCTAAAATGGGCTCATTTGAAGCTCTGTTGTTACCTAGCAAATGGAAATTAAGCCACAGGTTTGCTTTCTCCTTCTTTGTGTCAAATAAAATCCTTCTTTGTCTTGAGGCTACACCACCTCATCTTCACTGAAAGCCTTATGTAGATACTATTACTCAGTTTAGCTGCTACCAACGAGGGGCAGGTTGTGCTCAAAGTAATTCCAGCCAAGGCATAAAACAGAGCTCTCCCCTTTTCTTATCCCCCCAAAAAAGCAGCAAGCAATGGGAATCCAAAGGCAGATCTCCTCATGGCAGTGCAAAGCCCTGGCCCATTTATTCTCTATGTGCTCCCCACATATTTCACAGGGGATGGTTGGATATGTAGCAGTGCTTAGAGGGGCTATAAAATAAAGCAGTTCTTGTTGTAACAAGTCGTGTTCTTTACCTTTTGGCATGCCAAGATTAGGAAAGCAATGTGAGTGCCAAAACACTGAAAAATGTGCTGTATGTTGCTAAATACTGTACTTAAAGATTTTGTCTGGTATGAAATAACATACATTTTGGCAGTCTTTTAGTAGGCACCCTGGAACACAGTAAAACGGACATAGCAGAGTGTATATATACAGAGATTTGCCTTACAATGGCTCCAGTGCTGCCAGTGCATTCCTGGAACATGGAAATACATGGAAGCCAGTGTCAGCAATGAAGAAAAGTATGCTGTACCTAATGTACCAGAAAAGCTACTCAAGAACTCATCCTCACATTAAAATAACCCTGAAGAAGCTGTGTCAGCTCAGCTTCGTAGCGTCACAGGTATCTATCCACACATGGATAGATACATGCATGGATATATGCATGGATAGATATACATATGGATAGATACACATGGCTTCACCCTGCACACCTGATACAAAGCCCAGTTGTTCTAAGTTCTAGGTTTCAGTTCATTGCCTCATTTGCCAATTCACAGAATCCCAGCCTGGTTTGTGTTGGAAGGGACCTTAAAGCTCACCCAGTTCCAACCCCCCTGTGTGGGCAGGGACCCCTTCCACTGGAGCAGCTTGCTCCAAGCCCCTGTGTCCAACCTGGCCTTGAACACTGCCAGGGATGGGGCAGCCACAGCTTCTCTGGGCACCCTGTGCCAGCGCCTCAGCACCCTCACAGGGAAGAGCTTCTGCCTAAGAGCTCAGCTCAGTCTCCCCTCTGGCAGCTTGAAGCCCAAGTTTAAACTCCTCTTTAAAATCTATTAATTGCTAAATTAAAAAGTAAAAAAAGCTGAGAGTGTCCTTTTGAAATACCCCAAATCCTATGACACAGTCCTGGTGTTCAGCAATAGTGCTGCAACCCTGGATTTGAAGTGGAGAAGGTGAGCCCACAATGCAAAGTTATTTCAACCTGATGCTCTCGTATCAATAATGATTTGAAGAAATATTCTCCTGTGGGACAGGAAACCTGTTGTTAGGTACTTCATCATTGCCGGCCCTCCTTGAAAGAGCAGCTGCCATAATTCCATTGGTGTTTCTGATGGAACCCAACAGCTCTTCAAAAAAACCACCCTTAACTCCTGGATAGTCTTCATTTTACAGCACAGAACTATACTGAACTTCAAGAACAGAACAGTAATTCCACATCTTCTAAGCCTTCCAAACACATTCATAAACCAGCCTATAGATAACACCAAACTTCACTATACCTGCTCTTTAAGGACCATTACTTTCTTACAGATAGGAAGTTAGTCACCAAAAGGGAAGTCAATGACTAAAGGAGTATTATCCTTCCCTCTGAATTTTTCATTTCATTCGGTTGTGTCTGGTATTTCTCACTTTTTAATTCATATAAAGTGATTATAAAAGTATTTGCTTCAAGAAAGTACAGTGATGCTGAAAGGACAAAGGCTTTTTGTCTTGAGAACCTATTTACCTCCCACTCCAGCAGAGTCCCATGTGTAGAAACTCCCCTAGATCTGACATCCCCAATCAATACTTATTCATTTTACTTGTCTCCTCTTTCACGTATTTCATCCTGGCAGTTCACTTCCTTGATACACCCCATAAAATCCAGGGTAAAATACTCCAAGCACTTTCAGTAGTAATCTTTTCAGTACAGAGGGAGAGGCTACCACAATCCACCAACCCAGCTCACATCTACCAGTACCAAGTGGTTCAAGTATCACTGGAGTTCCATACACTACCACCAAAGCTCCTGACTGAAGTGAGATTTAGCCTGCAACTGATCTTGAGGTTTAAGTTCTTAAGGAGAAAGGGAGACACTTCATTCCAGGGCTCTGGATCCCTCTGGAGGACACTGCCTTCCCTTTCCAGTCTATACGGGCATCTCACTATTTGGCATGTGGCTCATGACACCAGATGCAAAGCCCACTGGCACTGAGAGAATCACATCCTCCAGCATGTTGTTCACCAAGAAGGGAACACAAACCCTTTGTGCTCTGCCTATGTTTGATGCAAAACTATACCCAGATCCAGAAAGATGTGCCAGCTCTGTAGCATCACCCCACCCTAAACCCAGTACTGTGGGAAAAACCTGTGGGCTTGACCACTGTTGAGATCCATGGAAGACATAAGTTTTACTACCCACAAACCTCATATTTGATAGTAAAATCACATATACAGTTTTCAGACAGTAAGACAATAGGAGTAAAATGTATTGCTATTACTGCATTTATTCTGCTGAAACCAAGAGTCACACAACTGTAGTCATGAAGATCCCAGCCTTTGTGAACTACCATGAAGCCTCTTTTTAAAGGTTTTTTTTTCAATGAAAAGCATTAACATTTATCATAGAACCCTGGAATGGTTTGGGTTGAAGGGACCTTAAAGCTCATCCAGTTCCAAACCCCTGCCACGGGCAGGGACCCCTTCCACTAGAGCAGCTTGCTCCAAGCCCCTGTGTCCAACCTGGCCTTGAACACTGCCAGGGATAGGGCAGCAACACCCAGCATCCATATTATAGAGATCATACCTTAATGAAGAGCCATCTACCACAACGAACCACCTTAAATGAAGGACATTCTTTAACATGTCATTTCCCAACCCTACTAGTCAGAAAAAAATCCATTGCTTAGGTCAGTTTTAGAGCTGTACCTCGACTCCATTATTCATCAAATGCCAGTTTTACAACAGAGCAGATTTTAAATAGCAACTCTTTGGTTATTATTGCCTTAAAACAAATCTCCTGTAACATGTTTTACAAGCATTTCTCTACTCCCAAGTGAAAGTGCTTTGGCCTGTGAAAGAATACGCAAACTACAGATCAGATGCAGAAATCCTTGGTTTCAAGCAATAACTTGTGTGCTTGTTGGAGACTGTGACAAATTTAGGAATTAAAACCTTTCCACATGGGAAAGCCACTCCATTTTTCCACTCATTTCCACTCCATTTTAGTGGTGACAATAGTGTGTGTATCTCCACCTTATCACTGGATCCTGTAATGCCAAATGTAAAGCAGAAGAACCACATCTCTGAAGGACTGCTGCCAATGGAGCTATAGGTAGCCCAGATGTGGTGGGGAAATGCTTCAAGTGGAAGACCTCCATAATCCATGACCATGAGTTAGGCTGCACAAGGAGGTTGCTCCTCCTTCCCCACACTAAGAAGCCTCCCTAATAGAAACTGTATTTATATAGGGGGAAATAATGGCAAAAAGAAACACGATAGTTCTCCAGAACATCTGAGGAACAGCCACATGACAGCAAGAGAAAACAGTGAATTACTCTCATTGCTTCCAAATGCCTTGTTAAAACCCATGTTTGATCATACAACCTGCATGACAGACATGATTTCTGATGCTAAAAAGTCTGTGGAACCATTCTAGGAAGCTTATTTTTAGCCTTAAAAATTATATTAAAACATTAGCTAAGGAAGAAAATGTATTAATCATCTGTCCTAGAAAGAGGAGAAAACAATACTTGCCCTGAACCTTCTCTATCGGGAGTGTGAATCTAGAGTTGAATTCCTCTTAACTGATTAAAGGAAAAGCCATGACTTTCTTTTCATTCCATGATCAAAGACATATCGTGCCTTCATTAGCACAGACTACAGATGGGAATAAAGCAGATGCCTTAAATGCATCCTGCCAGAGCACTTGCCAATTACAATTTCCTTGGTTTAACTCTACCTGATGCCAAATTGGCTACAAAAATGCCATACTCTTGACTGAGGTTATCAGTAGTTTGCTTTCAATCCTTTGTACTAATCCATCAAAAATCCTCAGTCTGAGTCACTACTCACATGTCACAGCATTCCCGTTGGCTGCTAGAAGTTTGCTGGGCAGATACTGTGCATTTTACTATATTAGTAAATAATAAACTAAATGATAACAAGAACTTGAGTTAGGAACCCAACTGACCAAACATGCAAAGAGCTACTCACTGGGACTAAATGGTCTCACCATTGCTGGTAGACCATCCTTCCAGCAGAACCAGTATATCCCATTTTGCAGAAAGATGTAGAATTTAGGATTCCTACCTTTAAGACATCACCAGAGGGAGCACAGAGGAAGGACTCATCACTGTGCAAATAACCCCTTATTTCCTATCACAGGAAAGGGCTGAAAGTATTCCTTGGTGCTTAACGATCTCTTGAACTCTGGGAACTAGGGGAACTCTGGAAACCAGAAGCAATGCTCTGATAAGCAAACATGACCTTGCCTGTGAAACAAAACTTGATTGCCCAATAGGGCCTCCTTGTTGTTTGAAAGAACAAGTTTGTTGTCACCCACACACGTTTGGAAAGGCAGAAAGAAACCTCACTTTCCTACTTTACAAGCAGTAGTGTTCTGAAAATGCAGAACAACAGAACCATAGAATGGAATGGTTTGGGTTAGAAGGGACCTTAATCTCATCCAGTTCCACCCCCTGCCTGGAAGGGGGTTGACCATTCACTGGTGTCCTCTGCAGGGACACCTTCCACTAGAGCAGCTTGCTCCAAGCCCCTGTGTCCAACCTGGCCTTGAGCACTGCCAGGGATGGGGCAGCCACAGCTTCTCTGGGCACCCTGTGCCAGCGCCTCAGCACCCTCACAGGGAAGAGCTTCTGCCTAAGAGCTCATCTCAGTCTCCCCTCGGGCAGGTTCAAGCCATTCCCCTTGGCCTGTCCCTACAGGCCCTTGTCCCAAGCCCCTCTCCAGGTTTCCTGCAGCCCCTTTAGGCACTGGAGCTGCTCTAAGGCCTCCCCTTAAGGAGCCTTCTCTTCTCCATGCTAAACCACACAACAGAGAAATGAGGTTTTTGTTGTACCTCTTTTGGTCACTGATTAGAGATACAGGCATTAAATACAGTTAATCTTTGTGTTCCAAACACAGATGTCATCCACTTCTGTTAGTCTCCGTATTCCAAATGCTCGTTTCTCTCTTCCAAACCTGCAGCTTCCCTACAACAACTGAGGTTGTAGCAGGGACAGAATTTACAGGCAAGTTATGCAAAGCTGAAATGTTCCTAGGGCAACGTTTTACAGCCCCTTAGAGCTCCATACATAGTATTTTACTGTGTACTCAAAGAGCATTTATTTACATACACGTCTGAGGTTTTCTGTCAGTTTAAAGTTCAGGCTTTTCTCATCTCATTTGTCCAAGATGGATGGCCTCCCTTTTTTCCTTTGGAAAACCAATGCTGTTACACTGTTCCCAATTCTTCCTCCAAAGCAAAACTTGGGTGTTGGCAGCTCCTCCAGAACCTCAAATCCTGCCAGACAGAAATTAAAATGCTTTTATTAGAAGGAAGTCATTTTATTAGCCTCTTGGATAACCCTTTGCAAACCATTCTTTATTCGTCTGGAAAACTTGCAAGGCAGTTACTCAGAGTTTATAGGACTGTGTTGTTACACTGCACCACTGCTTTCTACAGCTGAAAGCCTTCCATGGATAATAAAACTCTTAGCTGGCTGACTCACACAAATTAATGGCAGAAAAGATGGGAATTTGCCAGTGGTTTTAGTTCCCCAGAAGGGAAGGTTGGTTTAGATACACAATGAGGTCCAAGCCTCAGGCATGAGATTGAGGAGCCAAGTGGCATGGAAAAAACCCTTAGAAAGATCACTGAGGAGGTGACATGAAAGATCATGGTCAGAGTCTTGCCAGTTCATCTGAATATGGGTAGCAATGTTGTCCTGATTTCAAAGCCATCAGATGGGTGAACTGGAGCTGGCAATAAAGGGCCAAAGGAGAAGTACTACCCACGTACACACTTCCCCAGTGTAACTAGGCTGAAATCCTCATCCTCCAAAGTATAACAAAACCTGTCCTTCCTCAGTGTGTTGGCACTGGCAAACCCTGAAGTTCTAATTCCTGTGGAAAACTGAGGGAAGACAGGCTGAAGCATTTACTGGTCACTTTACCTTGTCTACCTAAAGAGTCAATATGCTAACAAAGACATTAAAATTTACTCATCCTTAAACAACCATACACTGACAGATGGTTCTGTTCACCTGCTTACCTTCTCTGAACTCGGTCAACAGCTCCTCCTTGGTCCAGTTGCAAGATGTGATGAGGAAGAAGCCCTCTGGTTTCAACACACTGCAGAGGGATCTCACGTACTGCTTCCTCTTTGCCTCCGCGTTATCAGGATTGAGGCTTATGGCATCAAAAGTCCCCTTGTCAATACAGATCTCAAATCCTGACAGCTCAGCTGATGGAGCCAGGAAGTCTTCTACCTAAACCAGAAGTCTGCAACTGTGAAAACAAATCTTCTACTAAGGGGCTCCTGCATCTTTAATGCAAACACTTTAAAATACAAAGCCTCAATCCTGGCAATAGGTGTGCTTAGAAAAGGGATAACTCACAGCCTTTCACAATTAAAATGCCCTGACAGCTTCTTTCTTCTCTATGTATCATGTGATGATCTATTTGTGGTAAAGCCTATGTATATACCTGTCCATCTAAAACTCAAACTAACGTAACTGAAGTGCAATTGAAGTGCAGGTGCTGCATGCTGGGTACTGTACAAATAGAGAAGAATAGACAGGGCTGCTACAAAGAGGTTGCAACTGGCATACAAGAAGAGAGACAGAATGCAGGCCTAGAGCTAGAGGGTTAAAACAGCACAGCAGAGAGAGAGCTGAGGATGAAAGGCAGTCACAGATTCATGGGATGGAACCTCTAGTCCTACCCCCTGCTCCAGCAGGGATTCCCAAACCTCCTGCTGCACAGCTGCTGTTTGGATTCTATCACCTTAGGATTTCAGCCTCTGTCTCAGATGTGACATTCAGAATACAGCAGCTAAAATAGAGAACTTGCCAAATGTTGCCCGTAGAAGCAGGGAAATCTTGTCAGCCCTAATGACTGTTACAGCAATAAAAAAGGGACCAAAAATCTTCTTGCAAAGATAGGTTTATTAGGTTAGAGTTCTCTCACGAATGTCAAAAGACATCACTAACATAGTACACTGAGTACATCTGAGGAGCAGTTTGGTTGTTTAATCTTGGGTTCAATTGCTTTCTGTTTCCTCACTCAGCCTTCTCTCTGAACTTACCTTTAATTTAATGCTGGACATCCCTTCCTTCTCTCTTATTTTTTCTGACAGCTGTATTGCAGAAGGAGAGTAATCAATCCCTGTGAGGTTCATGAAGCCATTCTTTGCCTAGACAGAAGCAGAGAATATGGACCAGTGTGCTAGCAGTACTTTTACCAAACAGATGTATTCCGTACCTATAATCCATCTCATTTCAACAGCATCCTGGCCTGTATCAGCCATAGTGTAGCCAGCAGGGCCAGGGCAGTGATTGTCCCCCTGTACTGGGCACTGGTGAGGCTGCACCTTGAATCCTGTGTTCAGCTCTGGGCTGCTCACTACAAGAGGGACATTGAGGTGCTGGAGCTGGGCTAGAGAAGGGCAACAGAGCTGGTGCAGGGCCTGGAGCACAAGTGTGATGGGGATTGGCTGAGGGACCTGGGGGGTTTAGTCTGGAGAAAAGACCAAGCAAAGTGCAAGGTCCTACACCTGGGTCGGAGCAATCCCAGGCACAGCTACAGGCTGGGCAGAGAAGAGATTCAGAGCAGCCCAAGGAGAAGGACTTGGGGGTGTTGGTCAGTGAGAAACTGAACATGAGCCGGCTTCAGTGTGCGCTTGCAGCCCAGAAAGCAACCGTATCCTGGGCTGCATCAAAAGGAGCGTGACCAGCAGGTCAAAGGAGGTGATCCTGCCCCTCTACTCTGCTCACTTGGAGTATTGTGTGCAGTTCTGCTGTCCTCAACATAAAAAGGACATGGAACTGCTGGAACAAGTCCAGAGGAAGCCACGAGGATGATCAGGGGCTGGAGCACCTCCCATATGAAGATAGGCTGAGAAAGTTGGGGCTGTTCAGCCTGGAGAAGAGAAGGCTGCGTGGAGACCTCAGAGCAGCCTTCCAGTATCTGAAGGGGGCCTATAGGGATGCTGGGGAGGGACTCTTCATTAGGGACTGTAGTGATAGGACAAGGGGTAACGGGTTAAAACTTAAACAAGGGAAGTTTAGATTGGATATAAGGAAGAAGTTCTTTCCTGTTAGGGTGGTGAGGCACTGGAATGGGTTGCCCAGGGAGGTTGTGAATGCTCCATCCCTGGAGGTGTTCAAGGCCAGGTTGGACAGAGCCTTGGGTGCCATGGTTTAGTGTGAGGTGTCCCTGCCCATGGCAGGGGGTTGGAACTGGATGATCTTAAGGTCCTTTCCAACCCTAATTATTCTATGGTTCTATGATTCTAAGAGAAGGCTCAGGGGGTACCTTATCGCTCTCTACGACTGCCTGATAGGAGGATGGAGCCAGGAGGGTGCTGGTCTCTGCTCCCTGGAACAAGGAACAAGGAACGAGGAAACCGCCTCAAGCTGCACCAGGGGAGATTTAGATGGAGCTGAGGAACAATTCCTGCCCCAAAGGGTGCTCAGGCATTGGAACAGGCTGCTCAGGGCAGGGCTGGATTCACCGTCCCTGGAAGTGTTCACACACCCTGTAGACGAGGCCCTCAGTGATATGGGTTAGTGGTGGCCTTGGCAGTGCTGGGGTAAAGCTTGGACCTGATGATCTTAAAGGCGTTTCCAACCTGGCTGATTCTATGATTTTCCTCCTCTTAGTGACTGAAAAACCCCGTATTTTACTCATTTGTATTCCTGTTAGCATTACAAGAGCTAAACAGCTGGTGGAATGAGCTGAAATAACTCCATTCTGCCCAATACCTCCTCAAAAGAACTGTTGACTGAAAGCTGGCTTACACCAACAAGTGGAAAATGGAGCAGAACTGCGAAAAGGAATACCCTGGAGGGGAACAGGCTCTATTATCTGCACCAAAAGTAACCTAGGAACCAGGAATTTCCAGCGAGGAGAACATGTGCTAATGCCAGATGCTTCAAAATCAGAAGAAAACTTCCCTGACACGTAACATCTGAGATTGAGCAATTGTTTTCTCTCAAATGGTAAGAGCCAAAATATGTAACCCATTTTATCAGTACAGAAATCCACTGTAAAAACTTTACATGTTTCTAATTATTCATGCTAATGCCTACTTGAATGCAATCATTTGCATGCTACAAGCTCTTTGTATCAGCAACTTTCAGGCAGGTTATGCACCACATAAAAGAGCATATACAGACTTTCTGTTAATGTAACTTCAGAGCAGATAATGATAACCCAGTTCAGCAAACTGGGGCAGTGAGATCCCAACAACCCTTGTGCAAAGCAGGTGGGAAGGTGGCAGCGACACATTTTTACCCTGAGGTAGAAGCTGAAGAGACCAGAAGTGGGTATCATGTGTGTCAGTGGGTCTGGCTGGATGCAAAGCTAACAGGAAGAGCTCTGATCTTAAGGCCAGCTGCAGATAGTAGCAGAGACAGGGAGGAGGCTCAGGTTTGGCTTGGTTGTGAACAATACATAGACTTTAACTACCATTAAGCAATCAGCTGATTTCTACTTGTTCCAAAGGCTGATACCTCAACAGCAATAGAGTTTAACAACCCTCCCTCCTTCCCACAGCCCTTTTCCCTGTGTGAGCTCAGTGCTCACCAGCTGTTCTAAACTGAGGAGTAATTTCAACTGAACACAAAGATCTTGTTGTTTGCAGTTAATGAACAACAGAGGATTGCTCAGGCTTCTGCCCACGTTCCTCCCCAGAGCAAATCAAGCTTCCTGAGATGCCTGTGCTGAAGACCTGGGGGTGGAAGAGGAGTTCCCACAACAGCTCTGTCTGTTGGAAAAGGAAGGGCTTGAGTCACTTCAGGGAGTTCCCATTCACTCCTATAGTCTCCTGGGCAGAGAAGGAAAGTTTAAGGATAAACAGCATTAAATGCTGCTAAACCTGCATGGCCTGACTATGGAGGGACAGGAAGGAATCATTCACTCAAGTGGCAAACGTGACCACACTGCATCCTGCAACGGGACTCCTGTCCTGAAGGTGCTATTTATAAACACTCTTCTGCTACTTCTAACAGATTAAATAGCAGAAGGGAGTGTGCAATGTGATCGGCACTGCCCCATAGTCACAGACTGGTTTGGGTTGGAAGGGACCTTAAAGCTCATCCAGTTCCAACCCCTGCCACGGGCAAGGACACCTTCCACTAGAGCAGCTTGCTCCAAGCCCCTGTGTCCAACCTGGCCTTGAGCACTGCCAGGGATGGGGCAGCCACAGCTTCTCTGGGCACCCTGTGCCAGCGCCTCAGCACCCTCACAGGGAAGAGCTTCTGCTTTATATCTAACCTGAACTTGCCCTGTTTCAGTTTGAACCCATCACCCCTTGTCCTATCACTACAGTCCCTGATGAAGAGTCCCTCTCCAGCATCCTTGTAGCCCCCTTCAGATACTGGAAAGCTGCTATGTTTGGGCCTGTGGTGCAGCCAGGTAGACACCCTCACTTGGGTGGTGAATACCCTCCAGTTAGAGAAGTTTTCCTATATTGTCTGCTCCCACAATACTCAGGGTATAAAAAAGAGGTCAGAGCTCTATGTGGCAGCAACATTTCCTTAGGCCTGGAATTCTTGGAAGGTAAACACATTAGGTCAGCAGGGCACCCTTCCAGACTCCTGATGTTGACAGGGGTAGGACCATCGTCTGCACCTACAAACACAGCACAGGGTCCCTCTTATGTATGTGAGACCCTCAAAGCAAGCAGAAAGAAGAGAAGAAACCCCCAGCAGCCTTTCTCGTGCAGCTTACTGCTGGGCTGATCCCTGCAGTGTGTAGGTAGAAGACATTTAGCAGTGTGCTGGATGTTCTGCCTTCTAGCTGGGTACTGGGGACAGTTTACACAGGATAAAAGTCTTTCTTGTTTTCACTTGATTTATTACCTGCTTTTCAGGTGGCTTTCCAGCCTCCTTTTTGTGCAATATTACCTGCTGGATCTGACAATGTCTTATGTGGACCTACCTGCATTTAATGTCGTTTTCTTACTGTACTCCCAGTTATATTCTTTACTGTTAACAGTATTCAGGGCCTAGGGCTCCACAACTAAGCGTACTCTACAGTACCTCTGCCTGTTCTATCCACGGTCTAATTCATCCCCCAGGCATCTACATCTGAGGGAGGTGCTACTAATGCTCTACATGGCTGAAGTCCGACTGCCTTTCCCAGTATTGTCATTTCTAGCACATTAGCAAGTCCAGCTCCAAAGGCAGAACTGCTCTGCAGCAACCGATGTGCCTGCCAAGAGAATCCCAACACGACTTTCAAAGCCTAGCAGCTAACACATAAAAATCCTCCTTTTAAATCAACTAAGAAAGGAATATCCTGAATTATTTAGCACCAATAAACAATGTGATTTTTTTGAAGCCACTTTTCAGATGGGAACTGGACTGAAAACTTATTAAAGCAAGCGGTGTTTTAACGTGCTTGATGTAAGGGTGCTCTTATGCAATTTAATAGTTTGTAAAAGCTCACAGGCTGTCATGTTCCCATTACAGAATGAAAATCAATGCCAGGTTTGCAAGTGGGCCAGTATAAAGTTGAAAGCTTATAAATTAGATTTTTCTGTTGGATCTTTCCACAATGGTAGAGCTGGTGAGCACTGCATTTAGCAATCCCTGATGAAGAGTCCCTCTCCAGCATCCCTATAGCCCCCCTTCAGATACTGGAAGGCTGCTATGAGTTCTCCACACAGCCTCCTCTTCTCCAGGCTGAACAGGCCCAACTTTCTCAGCCTATCTCCATACAGGAGGTGCTCCAGCCCCTGATCATCCTCGTGGCCCTCCTATGGACTTGTTCCAACAGATCCATGTCCTTTTTATGTTGAGGACACCAGAACTGCACACAATGCTCCAAGTGAGGTCTCACAAGAGCAGAGCAGAGGGGCAGGATCACCTCCTTCGACCTGCTGGTCACGCTCCTTTTGATGCAGCCCAGGATACGGTTGCTTTCTGGGCTGCAAGCACACACTGAAGCCGGCTCATGTTCATTTTCTCATCGACCAGCACCCCCAAGTCCTTCTCTGCAGGGCTGCTCTGAATCTCTTCTCTGCCCAGCCTGTAGCTGTGCCTGGGATTGCTCCGACCCAGGTGTAGGACCTTGCACTTGGCATGGCTGAAGTTCATGAGGTTGCCATCGGCCACCTCACAAGCGTGTCATGGTCCCTCTGGAATCATTGTTATTTGGCTCATTTCTCTTACTGAAATGAGCTATTTCTACTTCTGATGATATAATTTCTGTGCTGCAGTGGGGCAGCCGGTGCCCACAAAGGCTGTAAACTCTTAAAAAATCAAAGTTGATTTTAAAAAATCCATTATGAAGCCGACTTTGATGTCCAGCCCTTTCCATTTCTACAGTAACTAGTGGAGCCAGTGGAGAACGCAGCACAGAATGACAGCTCCTCCCTTTACCAACTCTCCTGAGTATTAGACCAAAGGAGTTAATAACAAATAGGAAAAAAATGGGAACTTCCAAACACATTTTATCACTGCAACAACATGACATCACTTCAGAACATGTCTGGGAAAGGGTTTCCACCCTGACAGATATGGACACTTCTTGAAAAGAAGTCATTTTTAAGTCATTTATAAAGAAAACCCCTTCATTTTAACCACTTTTTATATTGACAGTTATTATCAGAACTGAGTGCAAAGAAAGGATCTGGCTTTGCACAGGAGAATACTTTGTGCATTAATCCACTTAATTTCCTTGTCTGGGGGTATTTTACACAACAACAGCAAGAAACGCATTTTAAATGTAGGAAAATAGAAAGGTAAAGATAAAATAAGGGGTACTCAGGTTGATTGATGTAAAGAAATACTGTAAATTTTGTAATCTGAAGTGCTGACACTCTGAGCAGCACTGAGAAAGGACAAGTTGGAGTATGTCTAGGGAAAAAAAAGCAGCTTGTTTCCATTTGGTAGAACAACAGACAAGTTCTGTTCCCAGGTCTGCACCCCCTAACAGCACTGCTTGTTCAAGCAGTTATGCACCAAAGTCCCCCAGGCTCTTTAAGAACCACTTGTCTTTGTGACAGGATGTTCTTCAAGGCATATCAAGAGCACTAAGTTAATTTCACTCATACCCTTTAAACCATATGACAATATAAAAACTGATGCACAGTAACCAGTGTTCTGTTGGTGGGAAAGAACAAAACATGTTCAAGTCCAGGCTGGACAGAGCCTTGGGTGACATGGTGTGAGGTGTCCCTGCCCATAGCAGCGGGGCTGGAACTGGATGATTTTAGGGTCCTTTCTAACCCTAACTATTCTATGATTTTATGATTCTATGTTTCACTTTCAGTTGCTTGCTTTTTGGTTTTCAACTAAGTTTCAGCTTGCCATGATTACTACTCTCTGTTGCAAGTGCTGTATTTAAACTACTCCATTTGAAGCATCAATTCTGTATCAGAAGCACAATGTTTATAATATACCAACCAATTCAATCAGTAAAACACCGTTCCCAGTTCCAATGTCAAGCACAGGGCTGTCAAGGGGGACCTTTTGCTTTTCCAGCCATCTGATGATGCGAGTCATGCTTTCCTCTCCAAACCTATGAAAAACAAGGACTCAGGTAAGTCAGACAGCAAAACTGTACAAAAGGCACAGCAAACTGACTTTATCACTCCCTCCCTGCAGCTTCTGCAAAGCACCTTTTACTGAAGCACTTGGGTAACAACTGTCATAGCTCCACGATTGCTTTGTATAAATCAATTGCATGGCCCTAAAATTCACCAAAACACCAAGTTTGGGTAGATTTAGATTAGAGATTAGGCAGAAGCTCTTCCCTGTGAGGGTGCTGAGGCGCTGGCACAGGGTGCCCAGAGAAGCTGTGGCTGCCCCATCCCTGGCAGTGCTCAAGGCCAGGTTGGACACAGGGGCTTGGAGCAAGCTGCTCCAGTGGAAGGTGTCCCTGCCTGTGGCAGGGGTTGGAGCTGGATGAGCTTTAAGGTCCCTTCCAACACAAAGCATTCCATGATTCTATATATATAAAACAGGCAGCAGCACCAGCAACTTGTGTAGTTAAACCTGAGCTCAGGGATAAAGAGCACATCCATCAGTAACATACACCACAGCCACAGGTCACTCTTTGCACAATGACAGTTTTCCATGTGAAACTGAGAAATCACTATTGCAAAATCAGGCAAGAGAGGAACCGGTGGCTTTAAGACTACAGTTCCCATCATCTTCACAACATCTAGAGTTATCCAGTACCCCACTGACTTGCTGTTTCTGCAATGTCTATATTTATAAAGAAATAATAGAAACACGATATTTTATTTACTTTAATCACTAATTTAGCTATTTTATTTACCAAACTTCCCCAGCATCTCCGATGTCTTGAAATGTCTGCAGCTCTCTGTCATAGGCAGCATCCCAGCTGGAGTCGGGGGGAGAGAAAGGAGAGGATATTGCAGTGTATACTGGAAAAGGTTTAGATGAAAGAGGGGCGAGACACTGAATCTATAGAGCAATGCCACTTGTTATATCATCTGTATAAATTAACTGCTCGGGAACACGCTGTGAGCGGGGAGATGCGCTGAGGGGAACTGAGGGTTATGAGTGTTCAGGGTCCAGCTCGGGCCTCCTGCTCCCGGGCACCACTGCCGGTTTGGGGGTGAAGAAACCCGTCCCCCCCATAGCCCGCCCCACTCACTGCTCTCTGGTGCCCAGCACCGAGGGGCTGAACGGCTCCTCCCCGACCGCCGGCACCGCCATTACCGGCCCCACACCCGGAACTACGTCCACACCATAGAGAGCAGCGGTGAGAGGGCCGGCGGGCGCCGCTCTGGCGCCTGGAGGACTGATGCTCGCTGCCCCGCGGGGGGGCTGAGCCCGGGGAGTCACGTCCGTTAAAACAACCCGAGTTGATTTGTAGGTTTATTTATAAGAGAGAGACACGCTCTAAATGACGGGGTTTTCATGGCTGCAGTCCGTATGGGCCAGCTGAACCAGCGCAGCTTTTCATTTAAAGGGTAAAATTGAAATTAAAACTCTTCTTGAAAGTGAGGGCCATGGGACTGCTGTGAGGGCTGGAGCCAGGCTGAGAGAGCTGGGCTGGGGCAGCCTGAAGAAGACTCCTGAAGGGGAGACCTTAGAGCAGCTCCAGGGCCTAAAGGGGCTGCAGGAAAGCTGGAGAGGGGCTTGGGACAAGGGCCTGTAGGGACAGGCCAAGGGGAATGGCTTGAACCTGCCAGAGGTTCAAGAGATTGAGCTGAGCTCTTAGGCAGAAGCTCTTCCCTGTGAGGGTGCTGAGGCGCTGGCACAGGGTGCCCAGAGAAGCTGTGGCTGCCCCATCCCTGGCAGTGTTCAAGGCCAGGTTGGACACAGGGGCTTGGAGCAAGCTGCTCCAGTGGAAGGGGTCCCTGCCCGTGGCACAGGTTGGAACTGAATGAGCTTTAAGGTCCCTTCCAACCCGAACCATTCTGGGGTTCTGCGATCTCATTTTAACAGGCTATGCACAGGACTCACCACATGTGGGTGTTCACTCCTCAGCACATTCCCGGTCGCTGGCAGCCCCCCAGCACTATGTAGACGGTGCCAGCCCCGCACCAGTTCAGGCTGCAGAAGAAACTACACTTCCCATGATCCTCCGCGCCGCTGCCGGAAGTGAGCCATCCGAGGGCGCGCGCGGTGGCTTGTGGGCGCGGCGGTGGCGGCGGCGGTGTCCATCATGGCGGCTTCCATCTCGGGCTACACGTTCAGTTCCGTCTGCTACTACAGCGCCAACAGCAGCGCCGACCACGTAGGTTCCGGGGGCTGCCGCTTCCCGGCGCGGCGGGGCGGGCGTCTCTGGGGCTACGGTGTTCGGTTTCATCCTCCCAGCGCTGCCGAGCCGGGCCGCCGCCGGTTGGGCCCCAGCCGCGGGTACCTCTTGGCGTTAACGGCCCCGCTTTGGTGTTGCCGGTGGCACAGCGGTGCCCATCGCCGCGGAGGTGCTGAGGGGGTCGCTTGCCCCCTGTTCGGAGGTGGGGTATTGGGGCTGTGATTCGGAGACCCGCCGGGGCCTGCCCTGCGCAGCTGTGGCAGGTCTGGGCTGGACGCGGGGCTCTCCACGGGTGCGGGGCTCTCGTTTCACGCGCAGGGAATCGGTTCCAGGCAGGAAAACACGTGTGGGAAAGCGGCGTGAGTGTGTGTGAGGGGAGCGCTGGTTCTGCAGCACCGGCAACGCACCCCGGTTACAGGGCGGAAGCGAGATCTTCTTGTGGAGTTGACAGATCTCCGGTCTGAGCTTGTTCCCTTACCGCTACACCAGGAAACGATGCACCTCTGTTTCGGTGCTTATGCCAAAAGGACCTGATTCCCACTTGTTCTCTTTCCTCATTTTGGGTGGGGATGGAGGATAAAAGGTGGCTTTGAGTTACCTTCTGAGTTTTATGGTCCCTGCTGTAATTCAATGTCCAGCTCAATCTCTAGATGTAAACGTGAGTAATGTAAACTCCACTTCCCGTTAGCTTTGAAGGTCCAGAGCAGCAGTGGTACTGTGCATCACAGAATGGTTTGGGTTGGAAGGGACCTTCAAAGCTCATCTAGTTCATCTAACTCATCTAACTAGTTATCTAGCTCAGATATCTAACCCCCCGCAATGAGCAGGGACATCTTCAACTAGATCAGGATGCTTAAGCGTCTTCCTCATCCAGTGTATGCCTGTGTGGCTGGGCCTGGAGGCAGAGCTCTCTTTTACATAACCTGTGTTTGCCTTCTGTAAGTTGTGTTATGTATGGAAGCTTTCAGTGGAATATTAGTTTAAGGACAGGTTGTACCTACTGCAGCTCAGAGATGTATTTCAAACACAATCTGTGTTTGAATTCTTCCACTGATTGCTAAGAAAGTTACAGCAAACAAATGTAGAGAGTGAGGTTTTTTTCTATGTTTAGTCTTTTTTTTTCCCCCTTTAAAACTGTAGGAAGGATTTCTGCTGGGAGAGGTGAGGCAAGAAGAGACGTTTAGCATTAGCGATTCACAGATCAGCAACACCGAGTTCCTGCAAGTGATCGGTAAGTAACAGAACTTTGAGAAATTCTAAAGAAGTTCAGTTTTTCAATATTCAGCACAATTTGGTGAGAATTATTTCACTTATGAGACCAGCCCAAGGTGTTTCAGGCTTTCAGAATCAGGTTTGCTACAGTATTTGTGTGTTTGTGGTTGAGATGTGAGGAAAGGAAACGGTCCTTTGCTGCGTGCAGGGTTTTATGCATCTCCTTTTATGGAGAAAAGATCACTGAAGACGTTTATCTGTGTTTCGTGATGGAGAAATTACTCATTTGCCTTTTGGCTCTTCAGGGAGTTGCCTCTTAGAGTTAGTTCCCTAAATACAATTATGTGCTCAATATAAAAATGCATTACTTGATTTCCTGCCACTGAAAGGGCAGATTTCCAGTGGAGGGTTTGGATGGATGGATGGATGGCTGGTGGTTGGTGACATCCTGCACTGTACAGCAAGATTCACCAGGGAATATTGTCAAGCAATTTATTGCTAAATACAGGGACTGTGCAACTGATTGCTGATGCAGTTGGTGTTGTGAAAAGCAAAAGATGATCTAAGGTCTTGCTGTTGTATTGTTCATTGAAGTAGATATTTTTACACATCAGTGAAAAGCTGTGCATGTTTTTATCTCTGTGTTTTATAGAAAATAGGAACCCCTTGAATGAAGATGCCCCTTTTGTTTGCATATATGCAGCGCAATGTTAAAATGCTTTCTTTAAAGACCTGAATGTGTACATGGCTGTGTGGATCTCATTCCAGCTAACATAGCAGGGTCCGCATAAAGCTGAGGTAATACACAGATGGCTTGTAATAGACTCTGCAATGTTACTCTGATGCAGAACTAATGGACAGTGTGTATTACACTGTTGCATCTCCAGATGCTTGCCACCTTAAATTAGTGATGGTTGTGGATCCAAGAATCCAAAAGGTGCAGTAGTTTTCTGTTCCGGTTACTCCTAAGGAAACATGGGTGCTACAGTGACAGCGTGAAGTGTCAACTTGTTACAGTTGAGCTAAATCACAAAACCCGGAGGCCTAGGATTTGTTTGGTGTGCGTATAATCACTATCAAAGCCTTGTATAAGGGCAGGCAGCTGACTGCTCTGCTCAGACAAAACCAGACACAGTGATAACTGCTCTGAGTTGTTGTTGGCAGACTGATACAGCACTCTTATCACTGGCAGCCTCAGCATGGTTTCATAAAACAAGTGTTTATGGTGTTAAAAGTTAGTCCCTTGTTAGCTAACATCCTTAGTTACAGTTAATATCTCTAATGGAATTTCTGACCCTGCAGATCTGCTGCTTGTGTTTTTTGTTTGCCAAATTTTTATTTCAGTATTTATCCATTGACATTAACTCCTGAATTCCCAGTTCCACTCATGAACTGGGATTGACAGTTTTGTGGCATTGACATAGATGAGTATTAATATCCTTATGTGTCTGCTGTCTCAAGGTTCAGTGGTGCTGTTTGAGTAGATACGTGTATATATATAGCAGATGTATATAGAATACATATGTATTTTAATATATGTACAATATATGTATATGTGTACAGTAATATGTATAAAATACATATGTATTTTATATATGTATATAAAAGTAAATTGGTATGCAAAACTTTAATGTTGAATAATAGCTGCTTCATGCAATCTGAGCAGTAGGCTTTGTGCTTCCTGTTTTTCAGAGCACAAGGTCCGTGTAGCATCGTAATAGCCCAAGATTCAAGTATGTACTTTCAGTTGTTGTAGTCAACGTATTTGCTGGAAGGAGTTGGTCTAAGCTGGAGTATTACACTTGCTGGTTTTGTTTAGCAGATTGTTTCCACAGGTTCCTGGATGCCAGTGTGGAAGTAATGGGGTTGATTACACTTAGAAACAATTCATAGAATCCCAGACTGCTTTGTGTTGGAAGGACCTCAAAGCTCATCCAGTTCCACTCCCCTGCAACAGGCAGGGACCCCTTCCACTAGAGCAGCTTGCTTCAAGCCCCTGTGTCCAACCTGGCCTTGAGCACTGCCAGGGATGGGGCAGCCACAGCTTCTCTGGGCACCCTGTGCTAGCACCTCAGCACCCTCACAGGGAAGAATTCCTCCCTGACAACTAAATGAAGTCAGTCAGTAGCTCCAACAGGAGGATCATGAGGAGCTCTTGCCAGTGGGTATGCAGTTTCTCAGCAGTGCACCTGCCATGGGTGTTCAGGGCCTTGTTTTGACAGTGACTAAATATGCTGATATGCTCATGTGTATATCCTGTTGTTCCTGGAAGCTGTGATTTTGCCTGTGCTGAGGCTGCAGTGATGAGCAGGCTTTGCCTTTCAGAGCAGCTCGTGGTTGACTCACCCTCCAGGAAGGAAGAGTCTGAACACAAAGTTGTTGCCAAACACTCCAGTGGGGTTCTAATATCAGAGCTTGAAGTAATACTGCTACAGAAGTACTAGTCAGGCTGAGCAAATACAGTTTCACACAAAAGTTAGGTGATTGAGGTATACTAATGAGAATAAATGAAAAACTAATAAATGATAAACTGTATTTGGTAAAGAGAGTAGAAGAGAGCTTAAAAGGAGTACTAAATACCACAGAATATCTGTAAGTCATGCTTGGTGTTAAAGAGGTGATGTGGATTGGCTCTTTGCTCCTGTTGGAACTGGATGAGCTTTAAGGTCCTTTCCAATCCAAACCAGTCTGGGATTATCTGAATTATTGCATTTTATTACATTATTACATGTTACTAATTTTATTATATTTGCATTTATTACAACCTCTTCAGTGTAAAATATTCTGCTTTCTAATGACTTTTTAAATCTTCATATAACAGCATCAGAAATTGC